AAAAAAATCATTGCACTAGTGAGGTTTCTTAAAAAGCCTAAAGATGTTTGAGTGAAAAAGAAGACACACCAACAATCGAAAAAGCGAACAAAAAAAAGCAAAGCAAGAAGTAACCTCGCAAACGAAGCCTTGTTGTACAAGCTCTAAAGCTAAAGCGTCTGCCGTATCCTGTTCTGTTAATTCAGTGGTCAACTGCCGATTCATTAAATCATCTAGTTGTATTAAAATGGTTAGCAATGACCCTAAAAAGAAATAGTTGAAACACGAAAAAATTTAAAAATGTAACGTCGAAGCACTACAAAAAACGTTCTCCATGTTTTCTACACAGACTTTGACTTAAATCAACACTCTGAACACCGTTATTGACTGTAACAGCCAATATTCAAATAAATGCTAAAAACAAAATTAAATGAGTTAAATTACCGTTGATTGTAACGTTTAACTTTACAATAGACCGGTTTTCAGTCCAAACTTGAGCAGCGGATTCACAAGATGGAGAAGGAGTAGCCTCTGATCTTGCTTCTGGATCCGAAACATGATCTGCATCTTAAACAATTTTAAGAGTTTACTACAAAAAACTAAAATCCTTTTGTAAATACAAATCTCGTCCCAAAAGAGTTCAACGATTTAGCAAAGGGGCTATCCAATCATTTGTTTAATCCAGCCTAAAAAATAAAAGAGAGCATTTAAATACGAAATGACCGTGTTTTCCAATTTTACAGCAACCCAAAGGCTTAAAAGAAAAGAAGAATTTACTTCAGAGAATCAGATAGCTCAGCGTTAAAAAATATCCGCAATAACCCTTTTTAACATCAAGCAAGCGAGAGAAGCTTAAAGAAAGATTTAGCGACAACACTTTGTAGCAGGGAGAGCAGCTAGTTAAAAGAATCTTTGAAAATTGGCACGGGGTCACAATTCTCACACCACATATCGATACTCAAGCATGAAAAATTGAGACATAAAAGTGCTATGCTGCTATAAAAAACCTGCATGTCTACCAGAGCGAAAAAGTAAAAGTAATAGAAAAGGTGAATCAACAAAAGTAAAGTCAGAAGAAGAAACAACAAATTACTTTTCACTATCTCACATTAAAAAAATCAAAGTAGCAAATAGATTACTTTGAGTACAACTTTTTCTAGGTGACCCAAGAAAGTATTACCTAAGAAGCCCTTTGATTTGAATCCTTGAATCCCCTGCGGAAAGAAAAAGAAAAACATGCAAAGTAACTGATTAAATATACAAAGCTAATTCTTCCAAACAGATGAGCAAACAAAAACGAAAAAAATTAATAGGAAAAAGTGGAAGCTCCCAAAATTTGGAAGAGCCTCTACTGATCTGAGAGGACAATTTTTGACCATTCTGAACTCAAAAATTCCAAACCCAAACTGCTCAGTTGTGACAGTGTTGCAAAGAGCAAAATGCAAATTGCAGGTGAAATATTTTTCTTGAATCACATCCTACAGACGTCATCCAGTGAAACACGTAAGTGCTTCTGTCACGCTAACTTATGAAGAAGAACAATTATACACAGTTCCTCAAGTTGAAATAAGAAAGAAAAGAATAATTAGTAAATATGAGAACATTAAAAAAAATTTAGCAAAAGCCTTGAACTAGAAAGTACTTCATCCAATAAAGCTTGTTAAAAAATATACAACTCTCAAATAAACGACGGGGTTTACAGCACCGCAGAAAGGAATGCCCGAAGAAGCAAGCAAAGAATGATAGGACTTAAACCCAGAAATCTATGAGCATAAAGCAACACATCTCCTGTTAATAAAAGGCAAAAATCATCACAATAGAACCTTACATGGTCGACCCTTCCGAAACGAACCTTCCTTTACAGATGCTTTAGCTGTAAAACACTTTAAACAATTCTTCCGTCATAACCCAAATTATTACTTATAACCCCCAAACTTAAAAGTTATACAGACTTCTCTTTTATTGAAGGAACAATGACACAACAATTT